TTTATAGTTTTATAGTAGCAAAACGATTGGGACGTTTTATTTTTATTATTAAAGAAGAATAGACAAAAAAAAAAAAAAAACACGTGTTGTTTTTAAGCGTTCACAACATTTTTTCCTGCCATTCTTCTCGACCATTAAGAAATTTTAGTATAGTTTTATGTATAGTTTTATAGTTTTATAGTAGCAAAACGATTGGGACGTTTTATTTTTATTATTAAAGAAGAATAGACAAAAAAAAAAAAAAAAAACCCGTGTTGTTTTTAAGCGTTCACAACATTTTTTCCTGCCATTCTTCTCGACCATTAAGAAATTTTAGTATAGTTTTAGTATAGTTTTATGTATAGTTTTATAGTTTTATAGTAGCAAAACGATTGGGACGTTTTATTTTTATTATTAAAGAAGAATAGACAAAAAAAACAAAAAAAACACGTGTTGTTTTTAAGCGTTCACAACATTTTTTCCTACCATCCCTCTCGACCATTAAGAAATTTCTAAAGTTAAAATCTATCTTCAAACTTTATCAGTTAGTATAGAGTATGTGCAGTGCCATATCGTTGTATAATTATATATTCAGTTTAGTCAGATGTTCAAGGAAGCAGGGGTCTATATTGATCGTAACATAACAAAGGTAGGTTTAGAGACGTTTTGGGACTATTGTTAAAAAGACAATGCGCAAAGTTAGTCGCTCGCCACAGGGCTTAGCTTGTGGAGATGCTTACCTTCATCCATATTTTATGCGACGTTCTTCAGAAGTCTAAGGACAGAAATTAGTCGTAGTTGCTATCTTTCATGAAAGCAGAGGCATAGGTTGGGCTATTTAGTATCATTCATCATTTGCACATGCCGTCATAGTCACCATCCATCTTAGCTGAATTCAACGAAAAAATTACCGCGGTTTTTTTTTCTTTTTTCTTTTGCTTTGTTTTGTTTTGTTTGTTTGTCATTTTACTCTCTTGGGAATGATTGAAAAACAGCAATACATCCGCGTCTAGAAGAAACTAGGGAAGAACTAGGGAAGAATCTTGGCTTCCATGAAATCCAAACCACATCGTTCGTTATAGACTGAATTTTGTTCCAGCTCTCAGTCCGATCTCAGAAATTAACAAATAAGATCTTGGAGATTTTACATTTGTTATAAAGAAGTACAGAGGTGTTAATGTGTAGATTTAAATCTTTAGACTTTAAATACATTTAAATTAATTATTCTTCGTACTTCGTTTCAACCCCTAGGCTCCATGGGATCTCTCATTGTAAATGTAGACACCGAGGAACCTGTAGTGCAGTGGAGAGCCTTTGGGGGTTAAATTAACTGAAAAATTAAACCTTTGTTATTCTGTAACGATAGTCAAGCATTCAGTAATGTAGCCTGCCGCGCAGACGTTTTTAGTGTCGGCGCTAAAAACGTCTGCGCGGCAGGCTATCAGTAATGGCAATACTGAACGATACAAAAACCGCGGTTGGTATCCCTGTGGAGAAAGAGTCACGTGGCAGCTATTCAGTTTTAATTAAAATGCCAATGTTGACTTTGAAGCAGACAAATTAAAAAAGTCATTAGCAGAGAAAAATGTTAGAAATGAATTATGAATGGCTCGATCCGTTTCGAAAAGTCTGTATGCAGTCTTTATCTCTCGGCAAAGTGTATATATACATACATATATATATATATATATATATATATTATATATATATATATCGACTATCTATCTCAAATTAATGCATAAGAGAATAATCATGTCAGTTCCCGGAATACCATTCAGCTTAATTTTCGTCAAAGTTTTGAATTCTACATTAGGACCAGACTCCCTTGTACTCTCACTCAGTGTTCAGTCAATTAGCACCAATTGTCTTACTATAAGGGAGTACAAATTCGAATAGGAAAGAAAATTCGCGAAGCATCTTGGTAGTGGGAGTCAAATGATGCCATAATGCAAACGTCTTATTCTTTTGAAATTGAGTGTATACAGCTATTTCAAAAAGGTTGGTGAAGGCTTTGTTGCTTGTTGCGTATCAAACTCGCAAGCTTGAAATGCACTATGGGCGATGTAAATTCAATCAGCGAAAGGTAACAACAATATCTCTCTAGTAAACTAATTATGTCGACTCCTTTATAAGATTTTGGGCAGTAGCATCGTATACTAAATATCTCAGTTAAGTTGGCAGGCTACAGAAGAGAGAGCCTTTAAGCTTGGGTGCGTTGAACATGTCACTTCACATATCACCAGCACAATGAATCCGCTAAAAAATGTGGACTGTCATATTCAGTGCTCCTGAACATCCATCACATAATGTTTTACCAAAGGCTAGGCCATCTAAAAGAAAATGCAGCCTTCAAAAAAGACCACATGATTTTATATAACCTGAACTTAGAATTAAACTCGAACACTATAAAACAACTTCTTGGCTAATCTAAGTCAGGGCATGCGCACGGCTAACTCTGAAACAACCTCTTGGCTGATCTAAGTCAGGGCATGGCTAACTCACAGATCAAACCCTGAAACAACCTCTGGGCTGATCTAAATCAGGGCATGGCTAACTCACAGATCAAACC